GGGGGGGGCTGCTGTGTCAGCGGCTGGGGTGGGTGCGTGTGTGTGCGTGCTCTCTGCCCTCCCGGCCCTTCTCCTGGCTGCTTCCAGAGCTTTCATTCCTGGTAAGCTGGAGTGACGTGCTGCTCAGGAGGAGGTCTGCCCAAAGCCCCGGCCCTTGGAACTGGCTGGGAAGGCCAGGGGTGGAGGAGAGTTTTGGAGGAGACGTCTTCTCCTGTTCCTTCAGCTGGACACATCACGAGCGAGCCCATCGGGCCGCCCAGAACACCCCTTCCTTCCACCCCAGAGGCCTGTTTGTTTCCACAGACTTCTAAGTAATTTGGACTAATGATTAGCTCGGAATGACGGATCTCCTTTTAATTGTAGTGTTGTAGGAAAGAGGCACTGTGGTGTGCAAACACCAGCAGCCTTTGGGTCCCTGCCTCCTCCCCCTCCTCCTGGAGGCCCTTCTGCCGGGGTGTCCCTCCAGGTGCCTCTCGAGGATGAGGCCAGGAGTGGCCCTGGGAGGGGGGGCCCCCTCACAGCAACAGAACTCCGCCTGGGACTTCAGCTGGGCCCCAGGTGGACGGTTACGCGAGGGGTGGTCTGGCTGAGGCAGCTTCTTGCTACAGAAGCTCAGGCTGTGGTTCGTTCATGAAGGGGCCACAAAACCTTGCTTTGCACAGACACCCTGACCCCTTCCGCGGGAGTGGGCTTTCCGGCTGCTGGGGTTCCGATGAGACGAGGGGGCCCCCTGCTCTGTCCGGGCATCACCAGCCTCCCAGCCCGAGAGAGGAGACTTTGGGGTTCCTGTTTGTTTCAGCCCGCCTTTCTCACAGTGCCGGTCACTGGCAAGCCAGTCTCAAGCCTGCCCCCAGCCCCAGGGGACTCGGCACTCTTGCCTGGCGTTCAGGGGCTTTCCTCTTCCACGGCGTCGGTCTTCTGTGCTTGCCCACCTAGCCCCTGTGTCCCTGAGGCGACTGACCAGCCTTTGCTCTGCTTGTCTCTTCCAGAAAACAGATTTTTTATTACGTTCTACGGAGGGTTGTACATCTCCGACGTGCAGAAGGAAGATGCCTTGTCCACCTACCGGTGTATCACCAAGCACAAGCACAGCGGTGAGACGCGGCAGAGCAACGGAGCCCGGCTGTCCGTCTCAGGTGGGTTGCTCCTCAGCTTCTCTTTCTCCACGCCCGTGGGGGGGGGGCCCTGAGAAGAGGGTCTTCTGTCGACCCCCGCCCAGGCGTGCCGGCTGGCAAGGCACCGCTCTGGTGTCGAGGGAGCCCACGGCCAAGCCATTCGGGTGTCTGTGGAGGCAACGCGGTCGACTTGGGAGATTCCCCTCAGGCTCCGAGGAGGCACCACACCGCTCACAGCACCTCTCCTCACCCACCCGCCTGTTGCCGTCCCTCCCTGCCAGGAGAGTTAGGACCTGTGATGTGCCGAAGGATGGCTGCGGGAGCGGTGGTGGAAAGCACCGGGCGGGCGGGCGTTAGGGCTGTCCCCAGGCAGCCCCACCGTGTCGCCCGCGGAGGCCGTCCCTCTCAGGAGTGTGGCGGGAGGATTCACGGCGACTCCGTCTCGCCCTGTTCAGATCCGGGCGGGCAAGGGTTGGGGGGCGGGGCTTGCACAGGGGCTGGGAGCAGAGCCGGCCATTTGGGCAGGCCATTGAACTGGCTTCCTTAGCGGAGCCTTTCATCTCCCCTCAGCATTGTTTCGATGTGGGGAGGATCAGCGATATGGCACTCCAGTCTTGAGTCTAACGACATCCTGCCTCTGTCAACATCAGGCTGATCAGTGACTCTGGTACACTAAGAGTCTTGACCTCTGCCCGTCTTGTCTCTGCGAGAGCCTCTTTAGGCGGCAGGAGTAGCTTGTCATCAGGCATTCTGCCTGGGCATCGGGTCTCCCCTCGCTCCACGATTCTAAACCCCAGCCTCCTCTTACGTTGAGAGCAGAGTGTACAAAATAAACTCTTGCTGCCTCAAGCAGCAGACCGATTCTTCTCCCTCAGAGATCGTGTCTCGCGTGAGTCCTTCATTTCAACGGTAACATACTTTCAGAAGGCTGCTGGATGCACAGGGCAAAACAAGATGGCTACTTAACAAAAAAGGAATGTTTATTGAGGAGAATGGGACATAAGACTCAGCCACATGTGAAGAAACAAAAAGGGGCACTCCCATCGGGTACTCTGACTGGGCTGAAGGTGCCTGCTGCTGCACACCAAGCAAAATGCCTACTTGGAAAAGTCCACAGCTGCCCTTGAGTTCTAAGAAACAAAGTGCTTCCCTTCAGCTGGGCACTCAGCCATCCAGCAAAGGAACCGCGTGGTGCCCTCTGCTGAGGGTGGACGGGGGCCATGTTGGCTTCCAGGGACCTCCTCTCTCTTTTTTTGTTATTAATATTTTATTGAATTTTTCACAAAGTATAATCAAGAAACCTTATCATTTGACATTAAATACAGAACATCGAACATAAACAGTATGCTAACTTATCATGTAAAGGTGTAAAGCATGTACAAAGATTCAACATCTGCGCACTATGTGCAGTAGAAATCAGAGTAACCAAACATCAATCTTGTGAGTATGTGATAACTTGGTGTTTCAGAGTTCCGTGTATCTTAGAGAGACATCCTAGCCAAAACTTGTGGGTAGCCAGGCTAATCTTTGTTATACTCCTAATGTGTAGATTAAACCTATAGAGAAGCTTAGTATTTACAACCATTCATGATACTGAGACCAAAATGTGGGAACAAATTCTTCTTTAGTGGGAAAGTCCAGATTGGGATTCCACTTTCCCATGAATTTAGTGGAGATCAGCCGAAGAGCGGCGTTGTTCAGTTTGCAGGTGACACACCCCATCAAGAATTGATCCCATAACTTCTTGTACCAAATCAGTGTTCCAGGTGGCTTTGTGTCCTTCCAGCATGTAGCAATGGAGGTCCTGGCAGCATAGACCATCACATCCAAGGTATTTTTGTGTACATGGTTTTCTATATTTGGTGGCCAGTAGTCTAGAAAAAGCCCTTCCGGGCATAGTGGCATGTCTATGTTGATAATGTGCTTAACTAACCTCTGTACCTCCTTCCAAAAGCCCTGGATCTTCTCACACTGCCACCAGCAGTGTGCGAAGGTGCCAATCTGCTGACACCAGGCACCTCCTCTTGGTGCACCGCAGGGGCTCATGGCAAATGAACAGGTGAGCCGGCAGCAGAGTTGCTTTGTGCCACCTCCATGAAGCTGCATCCCTGCAGTTCTTTCCCCTCTCTTCCCCTCCCGCATCATATTAGTTGGGCTTTGGGGGAGTTTGATCTTGGCCTCAGGTGGAGGAGAGAGAGAGGTTCTCCCAGTCACAGCTTCTCTTCCCCCCCCCCCCCCCCCCTTTGAGTTCAGCCTCTCTGCCCACAGCAGGGGGAGCATCTCTTCTTTGCCATGCGACTGCGTGGCAACCCGCTGGCAAGCAAAGGCACTGAAGCAGCAACAGGTCATCGCTCAAGCTTGGGGGTGCCAAAGACTGCCGATCGACTTCAGGAGCACAAGTGGCTCCCTTCCTCCCTTTCTTCCATGTGGGCCAGGGAGAGAGGGGGAGAGAGAGAGAGAGATCATCCTTGTCCAAACGGCAGCAGCATTCCTGTGTCTTCTCTCCCTACCTTTGGGCTAGGAAAGAGAGCCAACCATGGCCAGGCCTGTCCAAGGAAGAAGAAGGAGAAGAGGAAGAGATTGGATGTATACCCCATGGCCCTTCACTACCCAAAGGAGTCTCAGAGTGGCTTACAAACTTCTTTCCCTTCCCCTCCCCACAACAAACACCCTGTGAGGTTGGTGGGGCTGAGAGAGCTCTGACAGAAAATGCTTTTTCGAGAACAGCTTTGCCAGAACTATGGCTTGCCCAAGGTCATCCAGCAGCTGCAAGTGGAGGAATGTGGAATCAAACCTGGTCCGTGCACTTAACCACTACACCAAACTGGCTCACAAGACCCTTCTGCTTGTGCCCTGCTTAGCTCCAAAATAGCGCCACTTAAAGGAGCGCAGAGCCTTGTTCTTCAGGGGTATGCAGCAGCAATGCCCACTCTTTACACCCTGCCTTGGCACTAAGAGGTGGGGGTCATCCCCCAGTCCAGAAGAAGGGCTCCCAGGAGCCTTCCCGCAGGGCACACACCAACCGCTGACAGGGCCTTTCCCAGAGACCTTTGGCAACACTGATGATGCAGAGTGGTCCCCTCCTGCTCACCATTGGGGAACCAGCAGGCTTGCTTCTCAATGTAACTCATTACCCTCTTAAGACCATGGAATGTAAGAAGAGCTCTGGTCCACACAGTGGCCAACTCAGAGCACCGGAGAGCCACAAGCTGGCCACTGCCTAGCCAGTGAAGGGCTTTTTGAGGAGAGGTCTAATCCTCTCTTCCTTCAAGGCTGTAGGGAGAGCCCTCTCAGTCAACGAGGCATCAACAGTTTGAGCCAATAGCTTGCGTAAGTTTCCCTGGCGTGGTTTCATAAGCCAGGATGGGCGCAGAGCGAGAGCACTAGAGGACGGTGGCTCTCTCACAGCAGGATCAGTCTGCCTCTGTGCACAGCAGAAGTGCCAGCAGGTGGTCCCGATACTCCCGGTACCAGATCTGCAGTCCACTTGGCTTCCCAGACTGGAACTGATGAGGAAGGTGTGCCGAAGGACCGCTTAGCACCATTAGGCAGGTGACACTTCAGGGTTACCAAGTCACAGACCAAATCACAAACAACTGAGCAGCCCCGTTGTTGGCCCCTCTGCCAGCCTGTTGCTGCAGGTGGCCACAAGTCCCTCCACAGAGTCGCTCCCTCGTCTAGAAGTCCTGCCTGGAAACCAAGAGGGGCCACTCAGCGCCGAGGGCAGGCCGTCTTCTGATGGGACCACTGCCCTGCACGTAGGAGGCGGTGAGCTCAGCCGTGCCTCCAGTGGGTAGTGCTCCAGCCACCACATGGCCAAACAGGCAGCTTCCCAACAAGATCACCAGCAAGCTGCTTAGAAGAGAGAAGAAGAGAAACCAGCATGCGGATTTCCCCACATGTCTCAGTCATTGTGACCACACACTCTGTGTGTGCACAGGAGCCCAGCTGTGAACTCACAGATGGCTGACAGGAGGGAGCTGGAGGAAGGAGCCACCCGGCTCCCGGCACAGAGCGTGCAGGCGCCATGGATGGCGGGGAGGTGCCCTGCAGCACGACACCGACGCCGTTCTCTGGGCTGGGTCTTGTCCCCGTTGCCCCTGGCCGTGAGGACCGGACTGTGAGGAGTCCAGAGGCAAAGCTTAGTCTTACCTGCGTGGCCTGGCCATGGGTCCCTCAGGTGTTGTGGCCATAGCATCTTACCTGCGTGCCCTGTCGGCTCCTCCCCTAAGCTGAGGCTAAAGTGGTTCCTTCCGGTCCCAGGCATTTGTGGTCCGTTGGGACAAAAGCAGCCTCAGCGTTGCCCTGCAGATACTCAGCATCTGGGAGTGCTGATAAACCCTCCCGAACCGAGGGAAGCCAAGAGAAGACCCAAAAGCCACGACCCAAAAGTGCTGCCTCAGAAGAGGACAGTCCCAGCCAGCCGGGCTCAGCCCCCCACCCTGTTGATGCCATGCGAGGATGGGATCCCATGGATGAGGTTCCACCGCGTGTCCTGCTCTGTGCCCAGTGGGCCGAGCGGTAGGGGGCCAAGGCCACGGGCAGGCAGCACGGAGCCAGCAGGGGAGGGGCTGATGGCCGAGGCGAGAGACTGGGGGTGGGTCGGTCTCTCTCTCTCCAGGGCCTCCAGAGGTGGTGGAGTCTGGCTGTGGGGAGCTGTCCCTGCCGAAGCACAAACTGGCTTGGGAGGAGATGCTCAGCCAGCAAAGGCAAAAGCTCGGCTAAGGGCTCTGATATGAAGGACGGAGAGCCCCGGCCCTCCCTGTTGCCAGAGCCAGCTCCTGGGCCCGGCCCGCATCCAGAGATTTGCTTTCCTCCTGAGTGAGGCTCGAGTGTGGGACGGCCCAAACGACCCGCTAGGTGCTTCTCCACCTGGCCCCGGCTTCGGCTGTGGCCCTCCGCCTTCTTTGTTCCTGGGGCAGAGACCGGAGGGGCAGGGGATGGACAGCCCCCCCCTCCCCAAGGGGCTCCTGGTCTGGATGGGATCTTAAACGAGAGCCGGCTGTTGGAGAGGGAGCAGGGAGCTTTTCTGTGGGTCTTCAGGGCCCATGAAGCTACGGGCAGAGTGGCTACCTTTTTTGGGGGGGGCTCCTTTTCCTTCAAGGAGTGTTCCCCTCCTCCTGGGAAGTAAAGACTGGACGAAGGCAGGTCTTGACCCCATGCCCGACCTCTGCCAAGGCTCCTGCTCCCTGACCAGGCTCAACGAGTGGAGCTTTCAACTACTACTCCCACCACCTTTTCTCAGGGAACTTAAACCGTAGCCCTTTGGCTACGGTCGGTCTGTCTGTCTGTCATTAGAGTCCTGGCCTTGGGGTCCCCAGGCACTTGACAATAGCAACAGATGCCAGCAACCCCCTCGAGGGGTGAATTCATTTACAAGGAAGGCCCTCCCAAGGGACCTGGCTGATGACAGACCAAGGTGCATGTGGTGCGTTTCATCGACTGGTTTGCACTGACAGCAGTGAAGGTGGCTTGCCTGGCCTGCCATCACCCAATCCAGGGAGTGGATTATCTGATCTATCTGAACAATAGATCAACAAAAACCTGCCTAGACAGGGAAGCATAAGCACTCATAGAGGAAGAGGAACATAAGAACATAAGAACATAAGAGACGCCAATGTTGGATCAGGCCAAAGGCCCATCCAGTCCAACACTCTGTGTCACACAGTGGCCAGAAATACCAGTGCCATCAGGAGGTCCAGCAGTGGGGCCAGGACATTAGAAGCCCTCCCACTGTTGACCCCCCCCAAGCACCAAGAAGACAGAGCATCACTTGCCCCAGAGCCCCTAGCTATACCTTGTGGCTAATAGCCACTGATGGACCTCTGCTCCATATGCTTATCTAATTCCCTTTTGAAGCCATCCATGCTTGTAGCACCAGAACATCTGGCATGAATCCCAAGTGTCGTCGTGGCTGATTGGCTCAGCAGGAGAATTCCGGAATAGACTGAGTGGTGGCAACTCCATCCCACAAAACGTGAACAGATTGGAGCCTGCTTTTTGAGGGTCAGTATGGACCTGTTAGTGTTGCCAGAGAACTGCCAGTTGACAAACTTCTGCATGTGCTTCTTTTGTTCTCAGGCAAGCAGGGTGGATGTGCTGATACGTGTCTATGCCTTCCCACCTGGTCAAACTGGTACTAAGAACAGTTCAAACTGTGCTGACAGGGAGAGCAGATGCAATAATGATTCCCTGTTGTGGCTCAGAAGGGTCTGGTTTCCAGGTGTGCTCAGATGGGAGTTCTAGGCCTCCCGGGGCCTTCCGTGGTGACCCTTTAAGCCTCAAAGCCGGTTCAGAGCGGAGATGGGTACATCTGGAGGCTTAGAGGATGAAATATAGAGCTGGGCGACATCTGCAGATTGATGACATCCAACCAGAACTCTCTGAATCATCTCATTGAGTGGCCTCATATAAATCTTGAAGAGTGTGGGTGAGAGAAAGGAAACCTGAGGTATTCCACTGGACAAATCCTAATGTTGATCCTGCTCCTCTAGTGGAAACACCTTGTGTCTGATCAGTAAAGTGACTGAACAGCCACTTTCCTAACACCTACTGAAAGCAAGTTTGGTGTAGAGGTTAAGAGCAGCAGACTCTAATCTGGGAGAACCAGGTTTGATTCTCCTCTCCTCCTCCACATGCAGCTGCTGGTGTAACCTTGGGTCAGTCGCAAGTTCTCACAAAGCTGTTCTCTCAAGAGCAGTTCTCAAAAGAGCTCTCTCAGGGATGACCTCCAAAGGGATGATAAATTCTATTAATCTGTTAGCTCCCAGGGTCACTTTGAATTGCAAGGTAATTGTAATTCACCCACATGAGCGGCAATTCACCCCCAAAATTCCCTTACGTGATCTGGCCCATGGGGATAAAATGCTTCCTGGCACTGTCCTCCCTGGAACGCCAGATAGAGAAAAAACGGTTCCTCTATTGTCGGACAGGGCAAAGCCCGCAGCCCTCCGCTCGCAAGACCTGACTGAGGACCTTTTGGAGGCCATCAATTCGTTGGGCTGCCGTAAGTGGGAAGTGACTGAACGGGCACTCAGCAACACCCCCGCCTCCTTCCGTGGTCTTTTGAGGGAGTCTTTTGTCCCGGGGGAATGGCAGGCTTCCTTTCCCCGCTGCGGGCAGAGAAGAGTCCTGCCTTTTGGTCCTGCAGCGCCAGAGGCTCCCGTCCGGCTCCATCCCAGGTTCAGAATTCTCACCCGCTCCAGCCTAGCCCCCCCCCCTTCTCCCACGTGTTCTGCCTGCCTTGATCTTGGCATAGTGGCCACGTTGCCTGCCATTTGAGGGAGGTATCTTTCCCCTTGGGTTGAGTCTCCTGTCTGAGCTTTGGTCATTCATTGTCTGCTCTCCCTTGCAACCTTCTGGGCCCTGTCAGTTGCCTCTACATTTCAGGATTTGCCAAGGAAGTTGCAGGGGTGGCATCAGTTAGACCGCGTGACCTGGAGGGATGCCTGAGTGGAATGTGTGTCGTTGTGATCATCTGGTGGGGGGCAGCTTGCACAGCTCTGATTCTAGCTGGGGGCAGAGACAGCTGGTAGTTTGGAACAGTTCCCCGACATCTGCCCAGGTCGTCTAGGGAGGCCTTGTGATGCCACAGAGGAGGCCGTGGCAGCAGCCTTCCCCCACCCTTTTGGAGCACTCACAATTCAAGGAAGATGTGGTCATGTAAATGGATGCAAATCCACTGAGAAGAGCCGAAAGAGACCAGAGGAAAAGGATAATTCAGAGGAGGATATACTGCATCATTGAAAAGATCTGAGATCCCCCAGTCTGTATAGTTTATTCCCTTCACAGAATTTGGGCTTGGAGATTTATTCAGAAGAAGAAGAAGAGATTGGATTTCTACCCCGCCCTTCACTACCCAAAGGTGTCTCGGAGCGGCTTACAAACTCCTTTCCCTTCCCCTCCCCACAACAGACACCCCGTGAGGTGGGTGGGGCTGAGAGAGCTCTGGCAGAAACTGCTCTTTTTTAAGGACAGGTCTTATCAGAACTACGGCTTGCCCAAGGTCATCCAGCCAGGTGCAAGTGAAGGAGTGGGGAATCAAACCTGGTTCTCCCAGATTAGAGTCAGTGTACTTAGCCACTACACCAACTGGCTCTTTTACTTTTTAATTTATTATTTTGTACTCTGCCTTTCTCATTGAGACGCAAAGAGAATTACACAGTGTAAATCAAGGCAATTAACTGGATGATGCATCTAATAAGCAGTGTAATAGGAGTAGGAATTGTAGAAATTTGAAACACGGTTGTCATCAGAACAAAGCAGAAGTATTAAATACGACATGTTAAGCAATGTAGAACATAGTATTACATCAGCAGAAATGCAGGACATTTTCTTAGGCTAATCTATTGTGATGTAGCCTTTTAGAACAGTTCTGTTTTGCATAGTTTGCCAAATGCCAGGGGCACAGGAGCCGTCCTGACCGCCTCAGGCTGACTGCAGAATGGGGGTGTAATATGCACGACACCCCCCCCCCCCCGGCTTCCAGCAATAACCGAGCGGTGGCATTCTTCACCAGAGGAAGCCTCTGAATTGATTTTAAGAGGAGACCTATGCAGAGTGCATATCAGGGCTCTTGTCTCAGTGTTGCCATGGCATGGATGCAGGTGGTCAGATCAGCTGAACCAAGGTAGGGAGCCATTTTCCAGGTTAAACGAAGTTGGAAGAAAGCACTTCTGCAGCCGCACTAACTTGCTTTTCCATCATGGTTTTGTGTAAGATCCCTGCCTTCCCAACCAACATTCCTTCTGTCTTCCAGGGCTTGATTGCTCAACAAGGAGTCCATTTCCTTTCTCCCCTTACAGACCCAGCAGAATCCATTCCCGCCATCCTAGACGGCTTCCAGTCCCGGGAGGTGAGGGCAGGCCAGCTGGTGGAGCTGCCGTGCATTGCCTCCGGCTACCCGAACCCTGCCATCCGGTGGGTCAAGGACGGCCGCCCACTGCCTGCAGACAGCAGATGGACCAAACGTCTCACAGGCTTGACAATCAGTGACCTGCGAGTGGAGGACAGCGGGACGTACATCTGCGAAGTCACAAACACCTTTGGCTCTGCTGAGGTCACCGGGATCCTTGCAGTGATAGGTAAGGGGCTGAAGACGTCTGTCCCGTCCCCCCCCCCCCGGGTCCCGCAGGAGTCCTCCTCGCTGAGGCTTGCGAGCTGCTTGCGTGTGGTGCCAGCTGGAGGGTGTGGCTCCTTCCAGGTAGGAGCAGGCAGGAAGGCAGTGGTGGGGGTGTCAGAAGGGAGCCCCTCCTGCCCCCCCCCGCCCCGTTCCTTGATCGGCGTGTCTCACAGGGGATCCTGGCATGTGGGAGTCGCTGCCACACTACTACAGGACAGTGGCAATTTCTTTGTGTAGATTCTTTTTGTGGTTTACGTCTTACTTCCTTTACTTCGACTCAAGGCGGATTCCATAATGGGAGTCGGTGCAGTGTCCCAGAGACCAAGTGGCTGATGGGTAGGAAGCGCCTCAGAGTGCGTTTCCTGTGATCCTGGGGGTGGGGGCGTAGAGAGGGGGGGCCGGACTCTGGTTCTCCTGGGTGGGTTTGTCACAGACCAGACCAGGGGGTGAAGGGGAGCAGCTGCTGCTCTTGACTCGCTTTCTGGGCCTTCCTCCTGAAGTGGAACCAGGAGCCAGCCAGGGGGAAGCGTGGGGGCAGCCCCTCCCTGGGCCTCCGGGAGCCCGAGGACTGTGGCTCCGGCGCTTCTGTGCAGCTGTTCTCTTGGAGTCCGGCGCCTGCCCCACCCAAGGCTCGCGCACGGGGAGCTCTGTGTGCCCAGAGGGGACAGGCGGCCAGAGCTCCAGCGCGACGGGGTGTTCCACTCACGGCTCCAAGCAGACGCCGTGTGTGCTCCAAGCAGGCCCGTGACACCCCTTCCCCTCGCGTGGTGGCTCCAGTTCTCTCCACGCGGACTACTCCTTTGTCGCCTGAGAGGGAAAGTGATACACCGAGGAGGGCTGCACGACGGGCGGGAGGCACCGCGCACACCTGGATCATTGTGCAGTGACATTTCGCTGGAGAAGCAAATCTGAGTCTTCCTAGGGATGGCCTCGGCCTGCGGCCGCTTCGCCAGAGCCCCTTCCTCGCCCGTGTGGGTCTCGCCCTTCTGAGAGGTCACACCCAGGCCGCTTTCCCCCCCAGGTGGAGGCGCATGGGCTGGGGGAGAGAGCTCTGGCGGGTGGGGTGGGGGAAGAATGATAAGACCCTGGCAAGACACTTCCAGGATTCAGGGGGGAGGGGGAGGGAGCTTCTTGGTGTGTGGGTTTTCCCAGCAGCACGTCTTGGTTCTGGGGAGCGTTTCCAGCACGTCCTTTTCAAAAATGCAATTTGGTGTCCTTTCCTGCCTCTCTTCCTCATGCCGTGACTTGGCAGCAAGAGAGCCCTTCAGTTTTGTCCAGGAGTTACTAACTGCAAGCTCTAGAGCCTTAAAAGATCGTTTCTGAAAGAGGCCAAGGGTTCATCTGGATCCTATTTCTGAAGGGAAGGTGTGCAAAGTCAGTTAAACGCACACACACACCCCCGCGCTGTGGCTCCCCTTTCCCCAACAGCTGGTTAGAGGCACCCTGTTTCCGAACACAAGAGACTTCCTTGAGCCACCGGGGCTCAGGGTTGTTGGCCGAGTTGCCTCGTCCTCTGCTAGAGGACCCCTGCCTTGGGTGTCTCAAATCTGGAGTCTTAAATTGAGTGTGGGCTAGTTTGGGGCTGGTGCAAAATGAGAGACAGCGAGAGAGAGCGAGGCAGGCACACCCCGTGAGCCTCTAGGGAAAGGGCACTCCTCAGGAGAGGGGGTGCCACCGCCACGGAAGAAGCCCTGTCTCTGGCCGCCCCGTGCCTTGCCTCCCCTCCGCAGGGCAGGTCTCAGCCAGCAGGGCTCGGGAGATGAAGAGATGCTGGGCAGTGAAGACCCTGCTCCCAAGCCCTGCTGGGAGCCCGGCTGAAAACAACAGAAAAGGGTTCTTTTTGAGGAATGGCCGTACCTGGCATGTCAGACAAAGCTGAAGAAGGTGCTCAAGGCCTGAGCCACCAGCGGTAGGCCAAGATCCAGGAGCACACCCGCGCTGGGAACCTGCTGCTTCTTCAGGGGGAGCACCAGTCCCCTCCAGGACCGCCGGACTCCTCAGACCTTGAGCAGCTTTGTCGCTGACCAATGACCCCCGGATCTTGTCTGACTTGCGGTTTGGTTTCCTGGCCCTCATTCATTCCATTACGTTCTCTGGGCATCTATTCATATTGTCTACAGATCCACTTGACTAAGCTGAGAAGGACAAATAGAATCGTGTGTCATCCATGTACTCGTAGCACCTCATTCCATATCCCCAGATCCTCTCTTACAGTGGTTTCCTGTAGATGTTCAAGACGATGGGGAATAAGGTGGGTCCCTGGGAGACTTCATAGGGGCCAAGCAGCAATCCCCCCCCCCGGCACCCTCTTCTGAAATCCACCAGCCAACTAAGAGCAGAACCACCAAACCACGGTGCCTTCCATTTCCAACCTGGCCAGCATCTCCAGAAGGACACCATGGTCATCTACACTTTTGAAAGTTGCCAAGTGATCTGGGAAAATCAACAGGGATGCGCTTCCACTGTCATTCATCTAGTGGAGATCATTAGTCGGAGTGACCAAGGCCAATTCCATCCGAAGCCCAGGCTTGAATCTGAATTCAGAGGTGGTACTAGAGGTAGTACATTTTCTAGAGGTAGTACTAGAGGTAGTACATTTTCTTTGAGACTGCCTGCAGCAGCTGCAGAGCCACAACCCAGTTATGAGCACTTTGTTCAAAGTAGAATGTTGGCTGCTGGGTGGTAGCCACTGCTGGCCACTGGGTCCAGGGAAAGCTTCTTCAGGCAATGTCTCATGACAGCCTCTTTTACAGATTACACAGAGCCAGTTTAATGTGGTGGTTAAGAGCGCGGACTCTGATCTGGGAGAACCGGGTTTGATTCCCCGCTCCTCCACTTGCACCTGCTGGTGTGACATTGGGTCAATCATAAGTTCTTTCAGAGCTATTCTCTCAAGGGCAATTCTTGAGAGAGCTCTCTCAGCCCCACCTACCTCTTGGGGTGTCTGTTTTGAGGAGGGGAAGGGAAGGGAATTGTAAGCTGCTCTGAGACTCCTTCGGGTAGTAAAGGGCAGGGTATAAATCCAATCTCCTCCTCCTCCTCCTCCTCTTCTTCCTCCTCTTCCTCCTCCCTCAGAGCTGCACCTTTCCACACAGGGGCATCTGCTTATCTTCTGGACCGGCTTGACCAACCCAGCCTGGGGTTGTGTGTGTGTGTGTGTGTGTGTGTGTGTTATGCACCATCAAGTCCCCTTCTGACTGATGCTGACCCTCTGGCTTAATGACCTCCAGAACATCCTCGCATTGACAGCCTTGCCCAGGTCTGGCAAATGGAGGGCCTTTGTGGGTTCCTTGACTGAGTCCGTCCATCTCACTCTGGGCCTTCTTTTCCTGTTCCCTTCAACTTTGCCTGGCATTCTTGCCTTCTTCAGTGGGCCTTGTCTTCTCATGATGTGACCAAAGTTTGATAGCCTCAGTTTAGTCATTTTAGTTTCTAGGAAGATTTCAGGCTCAATTTGATCTAGAACCTGCTTATTTGTTTTTTGTGGGGTCTCCTCCAACATCACATTTTGAAGGAATCAATTTTCTTCCTGTCAGCTTTCTTCATTGTCCAGTAGAAAAGAGCAAGAGTCCAGTAGCACCATTTGTGGCAGGGGAGGAGCTTTTGTGAGTCACGGCTCACTGTTCACTTCTTCATTGTCCAGCTTGCACATCCTTCCAAAAAGTAGTGGGAAATAGCACGGTATGAATGATCTTGCCCTTGGTTTCCAGCAACACTTCCTTACACATCAGGGTCTTGTCTAGTTCCTTCATGGCATCCCTTCCAAATCTCAGGCTCCTCCTCGTTTCTTGTTTGCAGTCTCCCTTTTGGTGGATGATTGAACCAAGGAATAGAAGATCTTTAACAATTTTAATTTTTTCATCGTCATCCTTAAAGTTGTGTAATTCCCAGTAGTCATTACTTTTGTCTTCTTAATGTTCAGCTGCAATCCTGCTTTGGCACTTTCTCCTTCAACCTGCATCGTAGCCATTTCACATCTTCACTGTTTTCTGCCGGTAATGTGGTATCATCTGCATATCTCAAATTGTTAATGTTCCTTCCACGAGTTTTCACTCCACCTTCATGTAAATCTAATCCAGTTTTCCTAACATGTTCTGCATATAGATTGAACAGAGGTCTGACATCTTTGCCAATTGGAAACCATTATGTTTTCCCATATTCTGTCCTAAAAGTACCCTCTTGTTCAGAATACAGGTTTCATATCAAAACAGATGTTATGGCACACCCATATCTTTTGAAACCATCCATAGCTTTTTATGATCCACAAAGTTGAAAGGTTTGTGGTTATCCATAAAGCACAAACTGAGTTTCTGCTGAAATTCTTTGGTATGCTCCAGTACCCATTGTAAATTTGCAGTATGATCTCTACTGCCTCTTCATTTTCTGAATCCGGCTTGAACATCTGGCAATTCTTGGTCCATATATGGTAAGAGTCTTCGTTGTAAAATTTTGAGCATCACTTTGTTTGCATGGGAAATTATAGTGTGATGGTCTGAAAGTTCCTGCAATCTTTGACGTCTCCTTTTTTCGGAATAGGAATGCAGACGGAGGGTTTCCAGTCTGTAGGCCATTGTTGTATTTTCAATATTTGTTGGCATGTTCTTGTTAAGAGTTTGATGGACTTCATTTCTACAGCTTGAAATAGCTCTATTGATATCCCATCTACTCCTGGTGATTTGTTTTTCTCAGTTGTTTTGAGTGCGGCTTTCACCTCACTTTCAAAAACATTCTTCATGTTGGACACCAACATTTTAGGAATGCTTTGTATTATGGGGGCTGCTGGGGGGGCCCACGTATGCTAGAGTGGGATGGCTACAATTCTGGATGGTGCCTGGGACCCTGCTCATGGCTCCTGCTCTCTCTCTCTCTCTCTCCCCAGACCCTCTGCATGTCACCCTCACACCAAAGAAGCTGAAAACTGGCATTGGGAGCACAGTCATCCTCTCGTGTGCCCTCTCGGGCTCGCCAGAATACACCATCCGCTGGTATCGCAACACAGAGCTGGTGATGCCAGACGACTTCATCTCCATCCGGGGCATCAACAACGAGACCCTCCTCATCACAGCTGCCCAGAAGAGCCACTCGGGGGCCTATCAGTGCTTCGCCACGAGGAAGTCCCAAACCGCTCAGGACTTTGCCGTCATTGTGCTGGAGGGTGAGTCGAGCCCCAGGGTGAGGGGATCACTGGGCACGGAGAGGAAACACCTGGCTATGATTTCCTCCCAGGTGCGAGAGAGTGGGGTGCCTCCCTGTCTGGCTAGCTGGCTGAGTCCAGGTTAGCCACGTTCAGATTTGAAGGAGCTTGTGGATCCAGATTCATCCGGGCTCACCCAGGCCAGTGCCCTCTCTCTGCTCTGGCCGCAGCTGTCCAGGGTCTTCGCGTCCAAGGCACTCAGCTGGACGTTCCAGAGGCTGAACCTGGGACCTCCTGCATGCTGTGCCTCCCACTGGTTTACAAGCGAGACAAAAATGCAAAGCCCAGTATGATGCCAGTAACTGGAGATAAGGACTTTTGCAGGGAGTGGCACGTATGCTAGGTAACATTAACTCATAGGTAAGTACAGAAACAAAAACCTCAGGGTGCATAAAACATGGATTCCGATGTCTCTTCACTTATGTGCAGAGTATGGGAAACAAGCAGGAGGAACTTGAAGTCCTAATACAGGAAGGGCACTATGACCTAATAGGCATTACTGAAAACTGGGGGGATGACACTAACAATTGGAACATTAGGACTGAGGGGTACAACTTATCTAAAAGGGACAGACAAGTAAGGAAGGGGGGGTAGCATTATACGTAAAGGGGGTATACACTTGCGAGGAAATACGTGAATGAAAGTCCAGTTGAGAGTCTCTGGGTAAAAATAAAAGGAGAAAGAAATAATAATGATATCATGGTGGGGGTCTGCTATAAACCACCAAGCCAGGTAGAGGATTTGGATGAGACACTCCTAGGACAGACCACAAAGTTCTCAAAGAGACGGGACATGGTGGTCATGGGAGACTTCAATTACCTGGATATCTGTTGGAAGTCCAACTCTCCTAAAAATGAAAGGTCCAATAAATCCCTGACTTGTCTTGCTGACAACTTCGCTTTCCAGGAGGTGGAGAGGGAAACAAGGGGATCTGCTATCCAGGACTTGATTCTCAACAACAGGGAAGAACTGGTTGACGAGGGGAAATTACGGCTGTAATTTCTGAGCCTCTGCCCATTATTTTTAAGAATTCTTGGAGAACAGGTGAGGTACCAGAAGACTGGAGGCTGGCAAATGTTGTCCCCATCTTCAAGAGTGCTTGTGAATGGTTCCTCATCTTCTTGGAGAGGAGTGACAAGTGGAGTGCCTCAAGGATCTGTCCTGGGACCTGTTTTGTTCAACATCTTTACTAATGATTTGGATGAAGGAACAGAGGGAATGCTTATTAAATTTGCAGATGATACTAAATCGGGAGTGGTAGCAAATCCAGTAGACAGTCAGGTGGGTGGGGCTGAGAGAACTCTGACACAAACTGCTCTTTTTTTCCAGGACAGCTGTGCCAGAACTTGTGACTGACCCAAGGTCACATCAGCAGGTGCAAGTGGAGGAGTGGGGAATCAAACCCGGTTCTCCCAGATTAGAGTCCGCGCACTTAACCACTACACCAAACTAGCTAGAAAGGGAAATGTGATTTTGGTCTATATCAACAGAAGTATAGTGTCCAGATCACACAGAGTGATGGTATAACTTTACTCTGCTCCGGCTAGACCTTACCTAAAGTATTGTGTCCAGTTTTGGGCACCAGAATTGAAGAAGGATACAGACAAGCTGGAACATGTCCAGAGGAGGGCAACGAAGATGGTGATTGGTCTGGAGGAGACCAAGTCCTATAAGGAAAGGTTGAAGGAGCTGGGTCTGTTTAGGCTGGAGAGGAGATGACTGAGAGGTGATATGATAACCATCTTCAAGTCTTTGAAGGGCTGTCATATAGAGGATGGTGCAGAGTTGTTTTCTGTTGCCCCAGATAGTTGGACCAGAACCAATGGGTTGAAATTAAATCAGAAGAGTTTTCAGCTAATCATTAGGAAGAACTTCCTGACAGTTAGAGCAGTTCCTCAGTGGAGGAGGCTTCCTTGGGAAGTGGTGGGCTCTCCTTCTATGGAGGTTTCCAAACAGAGGCTAGGTGGGCTGTCTGACAGCCATGCTGTGGCCCTTTCTTACAGGCCCAGGGAAATGCTGACTGCCACTTTGGGGTCAGGAAGCAATTTTTCTCCAGGCCAGTTTGGCTGGAGATCCTGGAGGTTTTTTTGTCATCTTCTGGGCGTCGAACAGCAGTCACTGGGTGTGTGTGGAGGGGGAGGTAGTTGTGAATTTCCTGCCTTGTGCAGGGGGTTGGACTAGATGACCCTGGAGGTCCCTTTCACATCTATGATTCCCTTCTGTGCTGAGCACCCCAGCCTTGGTGAGGAGGACCACAAGTGGGTCCCTTGCTGAACTGCTGCTTTATCTGAGGTCTCCCACAGCAGCTGGTTGTCAAAATGACGTGGTCCAGGGAAGGCATCATCTGGGGCATTTCAACCTTTTGAGTTTTGGAGCTTTCCTCAGCAGATGGGCAGGAGCAGAGGTTAGCCTGGAGAAGGGCAAGCAGAGTTGGGGAAGAGACTCCCCGAATTCTTGGCATCGCCTCTCCTGGGGAGTCCTGGTGCCTGTGCCTCGCCTGAGCCTCTGACCTCGCTCCTCCCGCCTGTTTGCTTCTCTTGTGTGTTGTGAGCTGCTTGGGGAAGAGAGGCCAGATAGACCTGGACGAGCGACAGAGCCGGAGGTGCTGCAGAAGTGCGGTGTGACTGGGGAGAAGGGGGGATGGGTGGTCAAGGGAGCCCTGCTGGCATCCTCTCCGGGCATAGAGGCTCTCGGTCTTAGACACAGTGGAGGACGTGGCTGCCGAAGAAAGCCGAGCTGGACGATGGGCAGCCCAGGGCCTGAACTGTGACCCCAGCGAAGCGGTGCACTGACACGCTGCTCAAGCACGGTCGGTGGCAGCCCCTCACCAACTGCGGATCGTCGTGTGGCGACAGTACAAGTTGATATTGCCCCTGTATAAATCGATGGTGTGACCTCGTTTGGAGTACTGTGTGCAATTCTGTTCACCACACCTCAGAAAGGATATTACAGCACGGGGGAAAGTGCAGAAAAGGGCAACTAGAACTTCTAAGGGAACATTTCCCTATGAAGAAAGGTTAAAGGGCCTGGGGCTCTTTAGCCTGGAGAAACGACGGCTGAGGGGTGACATGATCGAGGTGTACAAGATGATGCATGGGATAGAGCAGGCCGAGAGAGAAGTACTTTTCTCCCTTTCTCACAGTACAAGAACACAAAGAGTGATGAACACATGGAATTCACTGCCACGGGAGGTGGTGGCGGCTACAAGCATGGGCAGCTTCAAGGGGGAATTAGATATGCATATGGAGCAGAGGTCCATCAGTGGCTGTTAGCCACTGGGGCAAGGGATGCACTGTGTTCTTGGTGCTTGGGGGAGGGGCAACAGTGGGGGAGGGCTTCTGGTGTCCTCCTGGCCCCACTGATGGACCTCCCGAGGGCACCTGGTATTTCTGGCCACTGTGTGACACAGAGTCTTGGACTGGATGGGCCATTGGCCTGATCCAACACGGGCTTCTCTGGTGTTCTTAACGGTGCTTGGGTGAGCCAGAATTACGATGCAGGTCACACAAGGGCTTGGCCTGATTGGATTGGAAGCAGCAGCGAAGCGGCACCTGGGACAGGGAGCCAGGTGCCAAGCAAGGGGGCGGAGGCGCAGTGGCCAAAGCCAGCAAGTCAGAAGCCGAGATGGCACTGAACTGTGGGGGGAGGTGGCAGAGGAGGCCAGCGGTCAGAAGTTGAGGCTTAGCCCAGCTGTATGCCAGGAGCGGAGGTCCTGCGTGAAAGAAGGCTGGCAAGCTGAAAAGCGGCTGGCGCCGGCAGAACACCCGAACCCCGGCAGGCAAGGCTCTTGACGGCACAAGGCTTCCCTGCCAGGCCTGCCAGGCTGCTTCCTGCTCTCTGGAGCCAATGGCTGAGTTTGCTCGTGGGGCCTTCCCTGAGGCTCGGGCTTCCCGTTAGTCCCCGGCACCCCGTGGCCTTCCCCGGGTAGTCGCAGGGGCACAAAGATTCTAATTCCAGGGCTGCTGCTTCTTGGCAGACCGCTCCAAGGCTTCTGGGCCTTCTTGCCATCTCCTGTTGGAGCGGCAAACCCCTTCGCACGCACGGTGGTCCCAGAGCCCCCTTTCCTCCTCAGGTCCTCCTCAGGGAAGGGCCTCCTCCCAACGGGGCCGTTGCTGCTCTCGGCCCAGTCTCCCCCACGGCGACTCTTCAGGCCCTCCCTGGACACCCCCCCCAGAGCAAAGGACTGGCTCTGGCTGGCTGCTGCTTGCCCAGGCGCCCTGGGGGTGCAGAGGCGGCCACGTGAGCGGGGAGAGGAGAACGAGAGCCTGCTGCCTGCAGGAGACGCTGGGGCCTGGCTCGAGGCCCAGTTCTCTGCCTCCTTCGTGCTGCGTCCAGGCCTCCTTGGGTGAAGGCTCAACCCTGGACGTAGGGATGGCGCAATTCCTCCAGACGAGACTGGAGCCGGCGGGGGTGGCTCCGTGGCCCAGGTGGATGGAGCAGGCTTGTCTGGTTGGGGCCGCACTCCCCAAGGACGCAAGTGGCTGCACAGGATTGATCCCAGAGAGGGACAGCCTGTGGCCTGGAGTGCTTTTCACCAGTCTGGGCTGGTATGCCCACGGCAAGAGAAGGATCTGCCCACCGCCGACAGTGAACTTCTGTGAGCTCAGCACGCAGCTGCCTGTCTGCACACGGACGACCCCCCCTTCCTTCGACAGGTCGCTACTGTTGTAAAACTCCACACACACACACACACACACACCCCACAGGACTTTGTTGCTCGGGCCTCGCTCAGTGCTCCGTGATCAACACGGGGGAGCGAGGGTGTCGTCTGCTCAGCGCGGGGCTTTCTCAAAGGTGGCCCCCCTCCCCTCCCCTCCCCTCGTGACGGCCAGCCTCCCTCTCTTTCAGGTCTGCTCGTTTTTCTGTGCCTGATGGTTTTGGGGCTTTAACACTAGGCCATCGTTGTACCTTCCATCTTGTTTTTATTTTAGTGGTTGCTTCTAATTGTTTGAATTGATCCTGTTTTTACGTGTCATTTTATTGTTACGTTCACCTGCTTGGAGAAGCACTGTGCTTGAAAAGCAGTGGTGCTGGAGTAAAACAGACGACTGGGCTCTTCCCCCTTGACACCTTGAGCAGAAGCCTCCTCATTCCTGAAGCACAGGCATTGGGAGGGAGGGAGGGAGGGAGGGGGGGCAATGAATGGGATGTGGGGGAAACACCGGGTGGGCGGGCAGGTGGGTGGAGGTCCTTGTTTCCTGGCGCGCTGGCTCTTGGGCGTGGGGGGAGGGCTTCACTTGCACTCCGCTGCCTGGGCTGGTCCCGGACCGTTCTCTGTCGCTTCTCTTGCGGAAGATGTGCCACTGGGGTGGGACTGGGCCCGCTGCCCCATGGCCGCCTCGGCTAAACGTGCTTCTGTTTGTGGGTCTCTGCTAGATGGAACGCCTCGCATCGTTTCGCCCTTCAGCGAGAAGGTGGTGAATCCCGGGGAGCCGTTCTCCCTGCTGTGTGCCGCCAAGGGGGCCCCCCCGCCCACCATCACTTGGGCCCTGGATGACGAGCCCATCCAGAGAGACGGCAGCCACCGCACCAACCAGTACACCATGTCGGATGGCACCACCGTGAGCCACATGAACGTGACGAACCCGCAGATCAAGGACGGAGGGGTGTACCGATGTGCCGCGCGGAACTCGGTGGGCAGCGCCGAATACCAAGCGCGAATAAACGTAAGAGGTGCCTGTCTACTTTTCAATCTCAGCATAGGTCTTTTTTGTGTTGGCTGTTGGCTTGGTTGGGCAAGGCACCACCCGGGCTGGGGCCACCGCGGGCTCCGCAGGGGTGCTGGGATGCCCGCATGGGTCTGTCTGGGTGCCTGTGTGAGAGAGGCTGGTGGGGGGAAAGGCCCAGCGTGGGGGGGGGGGGGGGGGGGAGGGATGGCCCTTCGGTCATCCTGTCAAGCTCTGCAGACCCAGAGGTCAGGGAGTGGACAGGACGGGCAGTGCCAGGCTGAATGATATCTATTCTTTTTTAAGAAAAAGAGTGATTACCTTTTCTTAGAAATAAAAATAAACACCAGGGGAAACTCCTCCGCTTGAGGGGGGGCAGTGTCTTTGGGAGGGGGAGGAGTGGGAAGGCGCTCTTTGCCCCATTGAGGTTTCCGAGGGACGAAGGTCCAGTGAGATGACCGGCTCAGTGACCAGAGAAGCACCTGCTGCTGCCGAGGAGAGGGCTGGAGTCCCGCTGCCTGGCCCCTGGCTGGCTGGCTGCCTCTTCTTCCTGCTCCTGCTCCTGGCACGGCCCTCGTGGTCTGGCCCATTCCTCCTCTGGGCTTTCCCGTTGTGTCAGTACAGCAGGTGGATGTGGCTCACGCGCTTGCCGCGGGAGTGGGGGTGGGCCGAGCCGAGCTGGCTGTTGGAACTGGAAAGGCTGAAAGGCAGCTGTGGCCGATGGTGCAGAGGCTCACTACATATTTTGGAGAAGTCGGAAAGGCTCCACGAACTCTCTTGGGCGGCAGCAGCGGGGGGCGGGGTAGTGTTTGGCCTATAAGGGGCTCATCAAAGCCCCAGCTTTTCCTTGGTTTGCAAACTGGTGATTTGCCAGGGGTGGAAGGGCTGGCAGCTGTTGCTCACCATGTATGATCTAGTGTGGTCTCCCCTGAGTCCCGCGGGTACTCAGATTCCAGCCTTTGCTGCCTCTTGGGATGGTTGATGACTTTGCCTTTTCCTTGCAAACAAACTGTGATGAGCCTGTGGACTGGGAAGAGAGGTAGCCCCCCCCATCAGAGTAACTCCAGACCTCCCCCTCCCCCTCCCCGGATGCTAAAAAGGCTCTCAGAGGGCTGGGGGTGGGGCACGGACTGGTAAGGTGATCGATCCAAGTGGCACATCCTCTCCCCCCCCCAGCTTTTCTCCAGTGATGGGCAGCACTGGCTCCAGTGTGCTGCTGCTGCTGCTGCTGGGAAGCAGTGCCATTTCCGTACGCAAGCCACCTGCTCTTTGGAATTCACCTAGCCTGCCCCTTTCCTTCTCCCCCTGTTTAGGCCCCCCCAGCATCCGTGCAATGAAGAACATCACAGCCGTGGCAGGGCGGGACACCTTCATCAACTGCCGGGTGATTGGCTACCCGTACTACTCCATCAAGTGGTACAAGGACTCTCTGCTGCTGCCCGACAACCACCGGCAGGTGGTCTTTGAGAACGGCACCCTCAAGCTGATGGATGTGCAGAAGGGCATGGATGAAGGAGAGTACCTGTGCAGTGTTCTCATCCAGCCGCAGCTCTCCATCAGCCAGAGTGTCCACGTCACCGTGAAAGGTGGGTGGCTGGTGGCGCTCCGGGTCCAGAGCTCTGGCTGGGGGCTCCTGGGGTGTGCCGCCCCCTCTCGGTGGCCAGGGTCAGCGTGTCAGCTGATGGGGGGGGCGGGAGCAGCCACTCCTGGCGGGCTGGGCTGGGCTGTTGCCTGGGCAGATGGACATAGCAGCCAAAGTCCTCTGGAGGTGGGGTTGGCTTCTCCCAGCTCAGGTGAGGGCCAAGGCCTCGCCCCGGCATCCTGGTGGTGGTGGTGGGGAGGATGGTTCTGGGTCAGCAGCGGCATGCATGGTGGCAGCTGTTTACCTTTCCCTCCCCAAAGCCTGGCTGGTGGCTTCCCTTCCTCTGCTTTGCAGCCAGCCACGGCCTTCAGCTGCACCTGGGGTGGTGGAGGGAGGAGAGGGCGGCTCCTTTCTGACAGGCAGAGAAGACGGGAAGCGAGAGGCCCCTGGCTCTGCCCTGGTCCAGATGTGCCCCTCCCCTCCCCTCCCCTCCCCGGGCTGCCACCAATCCCAGAGTATCCATTTCCCATGACATGCAGCGGCGCAGAATGCACAGTGTAAACATGGCATGTTAAAAGAGCTAACCCTTGCTCTGATCACCTTTGGCGGTGGTTTTCTGTGTGTGCAGCTCTTTAAAAAATCATCCCCTTTGCCTTCCGAGCATGCAGAACATCTTAAAAGCCTCTCTGGCTCATCCATTATTCAGGGAGCCATCAGTCCGGATGAAGGGCAGCGAGAGAGGCATTCCCCCCCACCTCCCAGGGACTTGCCAGGACCGAACCCCATACCAGCGCCTCCCGGCCCCGGGATCTGCTCACCCACGGCGGCTCTTTGGGGAAGAGCAGGGCGGCAGGTGCCGGCCTCTGCCTCTGGAGGCCCGGGCTGGAGACGTGTGCCGCCTGTGTTGTCGTCATCCCTGGGGCTCGCGAGCTCGCGAGCAAAGGCTCGGTGGTCGCAGTGGGGTGGCCGCCGCTGTCGCTTGCTGGGGCGTGAGTGGGGTTGGTTGGGGTGACAGGGGGAGAGGAGGGACCGGGCGCATGTGGGTGATTCCCCTGCCCGCTCCTTGGTCCTGCCTGAGGCTGGACAGGGCGTCTGGATGCCAGCCTAGGGTGCGGGGCCTGTGCTCTGCATCACCCCTTTCCTGACGAGTGGCTTGCTGAGGCTTGGCTTCCCAGACTGGCACCCCTCCAGATGCCGCCGAGCGCCAAAGTCATTCTGTGGGGCCAAGGGGTAGGGCAGACTCCCTGCTGGATTGGCCTGTCTGCCCCACTGAGTCGTGGCCAGAAGACTGCTTTCATAAGCAGCCCCACGAGCAGTTTCTACATAGCAAGCGAGACATGGGGTTTCTTTCTCTAGTGCCTGCTTTCCTGGTTGCAGGGCACAGGCAAGGTGTATGTTGTTCCTCTGCAGTCACGTAGTACCTTTCCCCCCTCCCATCATGGAGACCTGTGCCGATGTCAGAGAAAGGGGGTGATTTCTGTGCCAGAGGTGGCTGAAGAAAGGCCCCTTTCCCAACCTGGCTTTCCAGCAGGAGGGCTGGATCGGACTCCCTTGTGTGCTCCCAAGCGCTTGGCAGAGGGCCCCCCCCCCCTCTGGATGCTCCTCCGGGCAGGTGCCGCTCCAGCTCCAGGGCTGTGTCTGGCTTGAAGCAAGTGTGTTTTGGCTGGCTGGCTGGCTTCTTTTTACAGCATGGGCCTCTGTGTGTGTGTGTCCGTGTGTCCCCATGTTCTCATGTGCTTCAGTTTTCCCCTAACCTGGTTCAGTACCATCTTTGGTGCAAGATTGCAAGGCACGCAGGGCTACCCATGTACCTAATCTGGAAGTTGCAGCTAGTGCAAAATGCAGCAAGGGTGCCTGCTGACTGTGACGTCCCCACGGGCGCACTTTCAGCCAGTGCTGCACCAATTGCACTGGCTGCCGATAGAATTCCGGATCCATTTCAAAGTGTTGGTCTTCACCTTTAAAGCCCTATGTGGCCAGGGACCAACATATCTACGAGACCACCTCTCTCCCTATGCTCCCTGAAGACCTCTCACACCCTGCAGACCCCCCACCATCTGCTGGAAATCCCTGGGGCCCAAAAGATATCTGATACCTTTTGCCTCGACCAGGGCCAGGGCATTCTCGGCCCTGGCCCCAACCTGGTGGAATGAGCTCTTGATGGAGATCAGGGCCCTGCGGGATCCCCTACAGTTCCGCAGGGCCTGTGAAATGGAGCTCTTCCGCCAGGCCTTTGGCCGTGGTGGTGGATGTCCAGCTCATCTGGCCCCTCCTGCTTAAGCAGCCCTCAATGTCCGACCGGGATGGTCCCACCACTCTTAAGAACCTGGACCTCTCTTTACTCGGACACCAGAAGCTTCTGAAATTGCCATCTTTTAATTCAGTTGGACTTTTGAAATAGTTGTTTTTTAGGGCTTTACATTGTTTTATTTCTTGTCCAGTATCTTGTAAGTTGTGACCCACCCTGAGCCAGCTTGTGGGTTAGGGCAGGATTAAAATAAAATAAAATAAACAAGTAAATGATACCTTTGCAGGGGAAGGGGCATGTTCTGGTGAGTCCTGCCGCCCGCACGGGCGCCGTTTCCCTTGCCTCAGTCTCCTGGGGCTGCAGCTGCCTCCCCCCAGCACCCCAGAAGGCTTTTAAAAGAACCAGTAATCAACGCATCGCGTATGTCAATTGCCAAATATAAGCTAAAGCAAAATATTAATTGCAAAGTTTGGTTGATGTACCACTCCGCTTAAAATTGGGAGTTAACAAATTGTGGATAGTGCTCTCTCGACATGCCAGTTCCCAGTTTTTCTTTCAGAGCCCAACAAGGTATTTTGGGAGCCCAGGTGGGCGGTGGGGGGGAGGGGGTGTAGGGAGGGCTGGGGCAAGGAAAGTTATAAAGCCCTGAGACTGAGGCAGAGCGTAGTGATTTCAGCTCATACTTTATTCATGCATCGGAGAACTTGAGATAACTAGCGGGACCCATGGCCTGCTTATATTCCCGTTCTTAACCACACCCAACACACACACACACACGTGATAGATTTATTTACAAACGACTCCCACCATTGGTTCCTTTTAGGACCCGGGCTGGCCAGTTGGCTAGCTCTTGGACCCTCCGCTTCTGTTGTCTTCGGGTGCGAAGCTTAACCTGTCCGCATGGCCACGTGTGAGCCTCCCTTGGTACACAACAAAGGTGCATGAGAAACTACTGTTATTTATGCTGTGTTGCTGCTGTGGAGGCATTTTCAGTGGAAGTGGAGGGAACACGGAATGGTGGCCATACAGGTGTGGCCTCTGATGAAGGTCGGCAGCCTAATTCCCTGCTGGATCTCAGAGGAGGAAGAGGTCCCTGGGATGGAGCCGCCCTGCTCCTTCTGAGGCACGGCCTGGCTACATACTCCCAGCACAGAAGTGCTCGGAAGGGGTGGTCTGGAGCACCGTGAAGCTCTTGGGAATGGCTGGTGGATCTGCTTCCGGAGTTGGAGGCAAGCCGGGAGGGAGATGCACAGCAAGGAAAGGCCCGGGGATGGGGTAGGACCCGTGCTTCCCTCCCCTGAGTGCTGTTTTCTGTGAAAAGAGAGAAACCTCCCCCACTTGCCCCCACACGACATTTCCCGTCCCGTCTCCATGGTCCCCAAGCCCCCGCCTCTCAGTCTGAGGGCCCCTGTGTTGAAGTGCCGGGCCCTTCAGTCAGGCACCCACACAGGGCACCTGGGACTTTCATGCTTGGATCCTTCAGCAGTTCTCTTTGTCAGATGTTGAGTCAAGATTGGTTACACGGGGCTCCTCTTCTCCCGAGGAGCCCCCCCTATCGCTGAGCCCTGGCTGGCCCGTGACAGAAGGCCTCCTGGGAGCTTCTGCGGGCTGGTGGAGGGAGGTCCCCATTGAAGAAGGTGTTTTGTCCAGAGCATTTCTCTTCTTCTCTTCCTCCAAGGTGCTCCGGGTGACATACGCCATTCTGTGCTCTCCTGTTTTGGCCTCACCACAGCAGCCCCGTGAGGTGCATTAGGCTGAGAGGGCGTGACCAGCCTAAAGGCACCCAGCGAGCTTCACAGCAGAGTGGAAACGTAAACCCTCCCTCGGGGCCTCCTGGCTCCTAGTCTGGCGCTCTAACCACTATGCCAGGCCGACTCCTTAGATTACGAGCGGGGAGGGCGCAGGGGACCTTCCCTCGGCTGCGTCAGAGTGCCGCCAGCACCGCCAACGAGAGGGCAGGCGGGTGGTCAGCGATGCTGCTGGGGGTGGGGTGGGGGGGAGCTCCTGGGATGATTCTTGGGGCAGAGTAGCCTTGCTGGGGGGGTGTTCCTTCATGGTGGGTGACTCTCGTATCATGGGAGGCCTCCGTTGCTTTAGTCACACAAGACTTTCTGTGGTGAGCGTTCTGGGTGCCTCAGAGGCTGCCGTGCTGTCTGAAGGCATCGCTCTGCTTTGCCCTAGATTATTTATTGATTTATTCCTTTATTAATCTGCCTTTCTCATTGCGACTCAAGCCAAAAATCACAGAAGCACGATAAAGACCCTAAGCAGGGATGGGAGACCTCCAAAGAATACCAGGGTCACAGGACAGAGGCAGGCCATGGCAGGCCGCTTCTGGACCTCTCTTGCCTGGAAAACTCTATGGGGGGGGAGGGTCACCATCAGTCAGCCGTTCCGCCAGCACACACAATACACAATGCAATGAAGCAGGACTGCACAGCAAGAGAACAAGGGGGAAAGGCGGTGTAACGCATCCAGTAGAGTGGATCTCATACGGAAGACAGAAGCGAAGGCTTTATAATGCATCCAATGAGTGATGCAATATGGGGAAGGGGAGGCGGGGCAAAAACCCAACCTGAATTTTTCCACCAGCAATGAAAGCGGCATCCCTTTATAAACGGGTCCTCCTGCACAAATCTTTTTGACCACGTCCCGGTTCCCTTTAGGACAATGTCCGACCGAACAGTTGCTGTCTTACACTTTCTGCAGAGCGACTGACGTGTGGGAGCCTCCCCGTCCTCGGCTGGCAGTCCAGC